AAGTCAAACGAGTTAAACGCGTTAGTAACGAATCGTTCGAAAAGTCTAACGAAATAGGAATAACGATGACGTCATTCTCGTTTAACTCGTTCGACTTTACGAACGTACCCAATGTTAACTTTACATTCCAAAGATAAAGTTTTTCTTTTCTTGTTTGATGCGGAAGAATCAGTTCTACTTTGTTTGGATGACATAGTAGAGTCTCTCGAGTCTCCGTAGATATAACACAGAAATAAATAACACAAAATAAATTATAGCTATGTGTGGATTCCGAGCGACACGTCCGAACATATAAGCCGAACAATAGTGTGGGGAGAGTGAGTAATCATTGGCGCTCAAAAGACGAATCGACGAGATTTGAAAATCGCGTAACTCCGGGTTCGCGTAAGTCGAGGTATTACTGTAATTTATCAATCGAGGAAAATGTAAATTTTTTCGGAGTATTTGCCGAAAATCATAAAGAATTCTTCTATTCGTAAGTGTATAGCCTAATACAATGCATAGATATTTCTTAGACATTCGAAATAAAGTTAATATTAAACTATAGAAATATCTACAGGATAAGTAGGAGGAAAAAAATTAAACAATAATTCGAAGAAATATTGCATATGTTTGATGATAACTTGTCGAACACGTTTTCATTTCTAGCCACTATGCCCCACGGCTGTAATTATCCTTCGTGTGAATTAAATAGTAATTAACTTATAAATATATATATACATATATAGTTATTCTCTATAATTTATATGAAGAATAAATTTTTACATACAGTATTTTGATAAGTAGACATTAAATCGATGTAATACACGTCTTACCTACTTGATAATAATAATTTATGTATTATATATAAATACAAATTAAATATCTATGCCTATATATATATGTATAGGTCAGAAAGTGACGATTCATTGTAACGAAAATATCGTTTTATCAAAATCTACTCTTTATAATCGTGTATTAAAAGCGTCACGCGGTAGAGTGTTATTGATAGATCTTACGGGGCCCGGGCCAATCTGAATTAGGGAGCTCCGTGTATTGTACAGTGTTGACTTCAGAAATTTCTCTTTGAGGCAGTTTTTGTTTTTATAAAAGATTGGTTTGAGGGCATGTGAGGAAATGCGTATACAAGCATTTCCTCACAGGCCCTGTACAACCCCTGATGACTTCGTACCACTAACACATTTTAGCAGGGAGAATAAAAGCAGGAAATTATTTCATAATAAATTTGTAAACTGTAATTACTAATTGCGAATTAATGTTACAAACGAATTGAATTTCTTATTTGCTTTTATCTCAATAATTACTCATTAATTATCAAAACTTTACTTAACGACTTCTTCAATTCTTGAATTAAACCCGATAATGTTTATTTGGAAGAAACATTCAGCTCGTTAATCCCTTTTGGAATTGTCTACGAGTTCTGTTTTATGGGGAATGGATTTAGCTGTTTGCAGAATTGATCAATATTATAAAAGGTATGGTGTATGGTTGTGAAAATTAAGCAAATTTCTTATCGCCATTTTGGATACAATGTTTGAATAAATAGCAACACTCTGATAAAACTACCGTATAAACGGTTTTAAAAAATACGAGGAAGAATGTTAAAGAATTAAAATTAGTTTAAAATGCGATTTAATATTAGGTATTATGGAAAGAAATTGCTGTATCATTCAATACAAGGAAAAAGTTCATTAACCAGTTTAAATAACAAACCACATTCAAATCCTTTTAAAAATAGGATAAAAATATATTCTTATTATTAATATATATATATATATATATTCTAAGACGAAAATTTTGATTAATTAAAACAAAAAAATTACTAAAGATTACTAATAACACCAATAATTTAACTTATAAAATATTGTTCATAATACATAATAATTTATCTTCATACTTTGTTCTCTTTAGTCTTTATATCGATGAGATTGTTTATATTTATTTTATACGCTAAATAAGATTACAGTGGGTGATCGGTTAACGAACGAATCGGATAACGAACACTTTCGCGTAATATTCTTATGTTCGGTCAACGAACACCTCACAGAACAAACACAAGAAGAAGCTACGTAAAATAATGAATACCGATTGGTCTTCCCTCGTTTTCGGGCAACAATTCGAAACTTTTCGGAGCGTGGGAGATGTCGACGTCGACTCTCATCCTGGTATATACCGATCCGATAGTATTCCTCCGAACTTTGAAACTCCCCCTCGTAATTCCAGCCTTTTATTTCTCTGACGGAAACAATTCTTTTATAGTATTCCCGAGACTGTCGGGCGGGCACTCGTTAAGTCTTGCGTGGGTTTTTATTTTCGAAAGGCGAGAATATAATACCAAAGGTAGAGGGGGAAGATGTCTGATGTTGCTGAGCAGTATGGCTCGAACAGGTCTACAGTAGGCCGCAGTTCAATCTTATCTAAGAAAGATACTGTATAATCGAGAAGACTCGAGCAGCTAAAGGAGTAACAAAAATCATATCTGAGAAATGAAGAACATCGAAGAGCTCATAATGGAACCGAAACGGACCTGACGACAGAAGAACGCCAAAAACTCTTGAGTGAAAAACACCAAGAAACTCGGCAAGATATGTTTTCTTCTGAAAAAGAGGATTAATGCCGATATTTGCTATTAAAGATCTTTTGAAGAAGTGGGAGGATGTCAGAACAACGGTCTTAGAATGGCATCGAAATCAGGTTGAGGTTAATAGGCTTGGGGATCTCTACAATTACAATGCTATTAATTACTTCTGAAAAATTCTGAAGAAGATAGAAAAGCGATCGACGTTAGACGGATCCTTTAACACCCATAAACGGAAAAAACATGACTAATAAAAATGCAAGATCGTGTATATATGTATTTTTATTATTACGTATAAAAAAACGTAGTAAGAAAGTATATATTTTTTTATTTTTTGAGATCTCCAGTACAAATTAATCAAATTCCCATAAAAACCTATGGTAAACCTATGGTAAGCGAACAAAGTCTTGGAATGAATTATGTTCGTTAATCGATCACTCACTGTATATGCTAATTTCTCTATCAATTCTCTAATTATAAGTATTTTAAAAAACAAAATACAATAGAGTCTCGATAGTTCGAGTTGATCGGGAATGAGACAATCTCGAAATATACGGAATATAGGCCTACATACAATGGAAAACAATAATAAGTAAAGGCGTTAATTAATGTGATTATTTTCTTGTGTTTGTACGACAGTACACTGTACATAACCACACGCTAAGAAGTAACAAGCGTTTTTTGTTTTTTAAACTGCAACTGTTTTCTGGCAGCTACAACGCAATAAATTGAAAGTTGATGTACTTTTGTAATTGTAGGAACACCTGTCGGTGTGTTTACAATTTCAGTGTGTCACACAGTTGATTTGAAGAGTGGTGGGGCTTCGAATTATCGAGACTCTACTGTACTAAAAACAAATAAACTAACTTATGAAATAGAAAAATAAAATTGAGAAATAAATCATTGACTATAATAATTTTGGACACAACAAAATCACTTATAATAAATAAAAAGAATAAAAACTCGTTATAGAAGTTGTCAAAACAACTTTATGTTAAAATTCTTTTGTTATTTTTGTGTTAATCTCCCGGTTGTGTAAAATTACAACTCTTTAGCCTCCAGCAATTATTTCTGGCTACGGAACTGTCTTAGAGTTGTAATTTTGCAACTCTTACAGTTGCAAAATTACAACTCTAAAACAGTTCCGTAGCCAGAAATAATTGCTGGAGGCTAAAGGGGCAAGGTTAAAAAATTGCGGCTGATATTTTTTCCATCAGCACTAGGTCTATTAGCTACAATCTGTGTAAAGATAAGTAACAGTAGCTTAAGTTTACGTGATGAAAACGAAAGTATGTACAGTATTTGTACCAGTATTATATATACTGTATATAGGTACCGCTGACTAAGCTGTGATGGGGCCTATGATGCTGGCTTAGCCGCATCATAAAATTTTTCATGGACAATCCTCTCATCCAGGAGGAGGTCTATAAATCGATTTTAATCAATTGTTTGAATGTTTTTGTATGATAAGTTCTTTAGAAGACACGTGTGCTCGATTTGAACAACTTTAAACAGCACACAAGCTATTAAAGTACCAATCTTAATATAGTTTTGATTTTAACGTTTGTTCTTACTTTTTGCCCGGGAAGGGTGCTTACCGGACAAAAAGCAATGGGCCTATGGACATATCTACTAGTTAAGAAAGCATTTATTGATATTTAAAAAAACATTTAATATAACTGGTTTTATAATCCTTAATTAATGAATATATTAAAACTAAAATAAAGTTTCATTAAACATCAAATTGTATTAGAAACTAATTAAATACTTTAATTAAAGGGTTATATGTTACCTCATTTAAAAATTTTTCTTCCCAGGCATAATTAACATTTTTCAAAGATGTTTTTCGAAAATCTAGTTGAAAAATAAACCTAACTGCTTTAGCTGAAACGATACGATCATTCTTGTCCGTTTCAACACCACCAAGATTTGTAGCAGTTATAGCTATAATACTGTCTTTAAAAGAGGTTTTATCGATCGGATAAACGGGTCTAAATACTCCATTCTGAAAATCATTAAGCCTGTTCATGATTTGTAACGCACTGTTATGGATACAACTACCGAACCACCATTTTGCACAAAGAGAACTGAAATTCCACGTCTGCCCATCGAATGACACATTTATTTTATATATTTCATTATCTAAATGAATGATCTCTTTTGCAATGTCTTCTCTGAAAACGCTACCTCCATCTTTAGCACGAACCAAGACAACAGCCGCTCTCAAAAGTCGAGTCATTCTTCCTAAGTCCAGATTTTCAGAATTATTAAAAGAAAATATTTGTTCGATTTTTTCTCGATCTCTTTGAGTTCTGCCTCGTTGAATATAATACAAGTAATCGAAATCTTGCAAATGATGAAACTTCAGCCATCCGACGCTTTGAATTCCCGTGAAAATTAATAAGCTGAATAAAAACAGAAAGGGATGTCTCGCTATCATTTGTCCTAATTTGGCTAGCCATTCGGAGAGATGTCTGGCTAAAAATCCCTTGGGCTTCATTGTTTAAAATAGCTGAAAAAATTGTAAAGTTTCGTCAAAAAGAGTGATATTTAATGCAATTTTTTTATTATTTAACGGCATTACTACTATTGAAATTGAAAAGATAAATAATAATCGAGATACCAATCCATAATGGGCTTACTAAAAGAGCCCATCTTAGTGCCCACAGGGCGGAAGGTTCGTAATTCCAGTTGAATTTTGAAAATAAACGAACACTACCAAGCTATAACACTATACAATACAGTCGACCCCCTATAACACTGTCGATAATTCTGTTTTATATAAATTCCATGTTGTACGAGTCACTTAGATTTTACAAATACGTGAGCCGTTCACGGCCCGGCACACGTATTTGTAAAATCTAAGTGACTCGTACAACATGGAATTCATATAAAACGGAATTATCAACAGTGTTATAGGGGGTCGACTGTATATGTCTCAGAGGTAAAACTGTAGTTATTATTATGAAAAATCAATGGGACGAAACATAATTGAATTGATATGTAATGAAATTGCTATGTTATCAATATTTTTTTAAAATTAATTCTTTCCGACTGCGGATAGTAAAGAAATTATTTCTTTGCTATGCCCATCACAGATTCGTCCAGATCCACAATAGATCTATTGCGGCAAGAGTCGACATGTCAAGGTCAATTTAAACAAACCAGAAAAATTTCTGAGAATTCCGCAAGAACCCACGTCTTTTATAGAGCAGCATACTAATATTGTCAATCGCCTTCAGTTTCCAATAGTTATTAAAAGAAAATTATACAGCGTAGTCAAGGCTACGCATAAAATAGTTATTAGGTTTGATCCTTTCCATTTGCCAATTCAAACAGCTCAGTTCCTCAGTTTATTGTATTGTGTTACTCTATATACTCTATATATTGTGAAAATCAATAAATAATATCACGAAAAAGTAATGTAAGAATGTTATTTAAATCCACTTTTTTCTGTATTTTTTTCCAATTTTGTACTGTATTTCTTGCATTATCGTTTGTATTTATATTATATATTTGTTTGTTTATCTCCCTTGCCTTTCAACCTTTCCCTTGATTCTTTTATGATCCGGTTAGAGCCCATTTTAAGAATCACTGCTGTATAATAATCGCCATTATTACAGGAAATACGGTATAAAAATATATTAAACATTTTTAAAGTTTATACAATAAGCATGTAATATTATATAGATTCTACATTACAAAAGTTTTCCTTTAAAATAAATAAAATATAATAACTGCAGTTGTAAATGCGTTGAAAAATTTCCCGGTGGGTTTAAAAAAAAAAGGAATAAATAATTTAGAAAATCCTAATTATTTATTGTGACGTCGACTGTAATTTTTAATCATATATTAATTAAAATCTGACCAACAAAAAAATAAATGCCTTTTAGATCATTTAAACGATAATATCACAAAGGTTTGAAAAGTTAGAGATATTATTAGGAAATTATGATTTATGGAGATACTACTACATTAAAGGGAAAATTAATTGTTTTTACTTTCCCGTATGTAAACAGGGGAAAAGTATGGCAATTAGTCAAAAAATGACATTTCAATATTATTAAATTTTTGGATTCGGCACCTTGAAACGTCGAGAAATACAAAAACTTTGGGGGATTTTTTTTTTGTATGTATGGATATTAGCGTGTGGGGGACACTTTGAAGCTTTAATAACTTCTGTGCTTTTAGTCGAAAATCTCTGAAATTTTGCAGGGAGGTTTGTATATTAGGGGGGTTGATGTTATTCGATTTTCGTGGTTAAAGGTCGAGGGGGTGGGGAGATAGAGAGAGTCATTTGATATCTCGAGTGGAGTCGAACTTAATGAAGATTTTACTTAATTACGCAATTCGTTGTTGGATTATTTCTGAGCACATGCCAAAAGTTTACTAATGAAATATACGACATTTGTTTTTATCAGTGTCGTAACTAGTTCTGTGCAAGGTTTCTTTGAATCCCTTAATTTTTAGAGAATAACAATAATAAAACAAATATGATATTAATTATAAACGATTGTTTCTCGTACACAAATACACAATCTCGCACTTACGTGTATTTATAAGCGAAAATATTACAAAATAGTTGACAATTTTTTTGTCAGTTTTATTTCAAGACTCCCCTTCATTGCTTTCCACTCATTGCACCTACCTACTTACGGCAAGGTTATTATTATTATTATTATTATTTTCTAAATGGCTAAAACTAATAAAGCACAGCACGTATTACACAAGCATTTATAAATAAATCGACGAAAACAGTACTTACATATTTCCTAAAATAACTTTCAAGTTGTAAGCTGCCCACAAATTTATAGTACATTATTTTTGTAATGTGTTTTGACATTATTTGCAATAATAGCAGTTGCTATACAACTTAGAACAGTAAAGTGATATCACACTCCACATGCACGAGTAAATGTCGTAATTGAACGGGATGTAAGTTGAATCGTATATTATACTACATGTACCGTACAGTATCTCGTTAACTATTTAGAAAATAATTCTTTGTACAAATAATTTTAAACAAATATTAATTTGCGAAAAGAATTTAATTAGTATAATTAACTGATAGCTATTCTTATCTATATTTAAAGTTGGATTTTTCACGTTGTTATACGAACGATATAAATATATATAATTTGCAAAAATAACAATATATAATTTTTACAATAATGGGTAAAGTTCAATATAAAAGTGGTACTTACAGCAATATTGTCTTATACTTGTTTAAGTGGTGTGTATTAAAACCAGAGTGACTGTCTCAAGAAAAGTGCATACTATCGAACTGGCTAGCGGTTGCGAGGATAACCTTGGAAATATCACAGCCAATTGGCATTCTATTCTCTCAACAAAAATAAACTTTAGAAAAAACGTAAAAATTGCATTATTAAATAAATAAATAAATAAAAGTACAACTTGTAAGACGAAGAACACGACTTACGTACACGAAATATTGTTTTTGTTTATTTTTCTATCCCAAAATTGGTCAAGCTTTTACCATTTTATCCGTTAAGAATAAAAGTAAATTGCTTCAAGGACTTGTTCCAAAAAAATATTTATAATAATATAGTTGTTGCCAACATAATTTTCTTCTTTTTTAAACTAGAAAGTCACGTTTACAGCAGAATACGAACAACCATCCCGTTTATTTTGGAGAATTTTTTCTCGAATTTTTGATGACTTCTTGTAATCTTCGGAGTTATTCGTCACTAATTTTAATATTTTAGAATAAATATCCTGTTTGAATCAACTGCGGTTTCTTCCTTCTCATTTCTGTGACAAGGACAAAAAAGAAATAATTCAAATGTCGACAGGAGAATGTATTTTCAGAAGATAACAGAAGTAATTTTCTACTTTAGGTTTAACCTTTCTCAACCAAATTTAGCGAAATGCCAGTTATATTAATAATAAAATTTTAGATAATTCGTGATTATTTTTATATTATTTTAAACAAATAACTTATAAATATATATATATATATTTANAAAATTATCATATAAAATTAGCTTTTTAAAATACTATTTAATATAATAGTAAAATACGAATAGTTAATTTAAAATAATAATTTAATTTATTATTATTATTAAAATGTAAGGCAATGATAATAGCCGTAGACAATTAAAATCAAGGTTATCATTTTGACGAGTTGTCTTCATTGAAAAACCTTAATTACTAAATGTCTCACCTTGATTACTGATGTAATCGTGAGACATTTAGCAAAATAAAATTGCAGGATTTGTCAAGGGCATGGTCAAAGTTTCGACACGTGAGATAATAAGCAATACTAATTCGTAGGATTCCAAAGTACAAGGTATAAAAACACTGAATAAGAATATATATTCGTGGTCCGTATATTTCTTATATTATGTTTATCGGGATTAGGGGAAGGTAGGACGGTGGGTTCACCGTCCTACCTGCCCCTAATCCCGATAAACATAACTATCAATAAATATAACATTTAATCGTGTAAATGCACTGTAGGGCCTATCCACATCATCCTCTACCTTTAATCTCGAAAAACATGACCAATAAAAGCGTTTTTATTTTTAAAAAATGTTAAAATTATTTACTATTTATTACAGTAAACGTTAGTGGTGTCTGTTTGTAACGTATATAGTAAATTTTTGTAATAAATTATTTAAAATTGACACAACAAAATTCGCTACCATTACTATAACATTAGAGTTGAAAACGATAAATTAACAGGTTAAGCTTACCGCTTTAGATTTTTTTTAATAAGACTTTGTTCTGGTTCCCTACACTTTTTCTCATCTATTGCTTCGATATACTGATGTATAAGTGAAAATAGCTTTTGTATAATCCTCACACCTAGTAGAAACGTCATAAAATAAAATAGAGAAAAGTTTAACATTCCAATTTATGTCTTGGTAACCAACACTGAACAAATTATGCAGAACGTGTAAACCACACGACCCGATGTTTGTCACTCTCTCGTCGTATTCTTTCAAATAATTTTGAAACTTATTAAATAAGGCCCATTTTACAATAGTTCCATCTATAGATAGCAGTGGCGTGCCGTGTTAGCGACTGTCTAGGGTCCATTCGTATCGTTTATTCGATAAGCCAGTAAAAACCGTAGACTTCTCTAAATGCATTTTTAATATCACAATTACATTCCGAATCGCTAGTCACGATATAAGGGCTACAATTAAAAATAAAATAATAAAAACTTACTCGGTGAAATAAAATATGTGGTGGATGTACCGGTACATACCCGGTACAAAATATTCTTCAATTATATTAATATACTTTTAAAAAAATTATAATTAAATCTAGCTTTGTAAAGAAATGTACATAAAAATAACATAAAATCTTCCTTACTTTTTAAATCTTAAAACAATGCGCTTAGTCAAATAGCTCCCTACGAGTGGCTAATGGATGGAATCGAAGAGGTTGCGGAGCGCGCATGCACGCGGACTGCCAAATCCCCGGGGTGCCTATACCGGTCAACGTCAAATGCCTCTTTTGTCGCATCATTAGTATACATCAAAGGACGCGACGGGGCCGTTGTAGATTTTAAACGTTTCTCACCATAGCTGTAAAAATCTAAATACGTTAAACTTAATAGTCATTTGTTTTCTAACTAATTCGTTTTAGGGCCACGGAAATTTCCAAAATTTACAACTTTTCTGTCACTCTCGTCGAACTGGAAAAATGTCTGTCTTTATTACATCTAATATTACGAAAAAATCGGTCCCCATTGTACTCGGCTAGAGATTGGGTCGGTTAAGCTTTTAAGTAATATTCCGGCTCTTTCGTCAGGGTTTTGTTTACGTCCCCATTTCCCTAATGGCTTAATTATTTAACTACTACTTAAGTAAAAATAAGTCGAAACCGGTTACTTCGTACTCGAATATTTGTAGTCTCGGGGAAAAAGTGGAAAGACAAATTTTTACGACAAACGGATACGTAAATCGTAAATGTAAGGAAAATAAATTCTAGAGCTTTTTCCGTACCTCGTGTTTCTCTCTCATTCATTAAATTTAGTCGTAAATGACGCTGTCGAAGTAACGCTTAATTTTTTAACATTATACAAGAATTGTACACGTTTTTTTCCTACATCCCCTTAAAGATGGGATGTACGAAATCGTAATATGACCGATTTAACATTGAAATCCGTAATATAAGATGGGAGAGCGGAATAAAAATATCAAATATTTTAATGAATTTTTTTAAACCCCTGTCAACTATACAGAACTATCGTAAAAACGTACCAGTAAATTCTTATCGGTTGGGTTAAGTTATAAATCTATACGCGATTCGCGTAATCGGGCGAGGGCGGTTAACGGCCCGGAACCGGTCCCAGGTACAGTACAATTGGATGCGGTATACGCGTAGCATCCACCCGAGGTCGTAGGCTTCCACCGGCTAAACCGGATGAGGTTGGTGCTCTGTAAAGCGCGTGCGTGAACCTGGCTTTTTGGATGCTGACAATACAGAGATTCCACTCCGCCACTAATATTCGAATATACAATAGCGATCATATCTTTTTTTTCACATGTAGTATAGAAATTTGTAATAAGACACGTAATGCGGTTATAATAAAATATTGTGCGATTATTTTCATATAATTAAAATTAATATGTATTTATTTTTTAGAAAATACGAGGGAAGCGGCGCATCCACCGCTTCCAATAACGGCACGCCACTGATAGATAGTCGTTTAGGCCATTCAAATCTTGCCCAAAAATTTCAAGATCGCTTGCTGAATTGTGACTAATAATACAGACTTTTAAATATTCGTTGTTAATTTTATCCTTATTATTATATCTATTTGTTTCTTTTTTTAGTCATTATTTAAACTTTTTTCATCAAATAAAAGAAGATAGCACACTCCGCCTTGCACTGCAGTAATAATTGGGCATAAAATACGATACCAAAGCAAATGACTTTACGTACATAAACTTTACTTTGCTATACAGTGGGTGATCGGTTAACGAACAGATCGGATAACGAATACTTTCGCGAAAGATTCTTATGTTCGGTCAACGAACACATGTTCGGATAACGAACACCTCACAGAACGAACACAAGAAGAAGCGACGTAAAATAATGAATACCGATTGGTCTTCTCTTGTTTTCGGGCAACAATTCGAAACTTTTCGGAGCGCGGGAGACGTCGACATCGACGCTCAAGTCGGTATATACCGATCCGATAGTATTCCTCCGAACTTTGAAACTCTCCCTCGTAATTCCAGCCTTTTATTTTTCTGACAAAACAATTCTTTTATGTATTCACGAGACTGTCGGGCGGGCACTCGTTAAGTTTTACGTCTGTTTTTATTTTCGAAAGATGAGAGTATAATAGCAAAGGTAGAGAGAGAGTAGGCAGAAGATGTCTGATGTTGCTGGGCAGTATGGCTCGAACAGGTCTACAGTAGGCCGCAGTTCAATCTTATCTAAGAAAGATTCTGTATAATCGACAAGACTCGAGCAACTAAAGGAGTAACAAAAATCATACCTGAGAAATAAAGAACATCGAAGAGCTCATAATGGAACCCGAAACGGATCTGACGACAGAAGAACGCCAAGAACTATCGAATGAAGAATACCAAGAAACTCGGCGAGATATGTTTTCTTCTGAAAAAGAGGATTAATGCCGATATATATTATTTAAAAAGTATTATGTTTTGAAGAAGTGGGAAGATGCCAGAACAATGGTCTTAGAATGGCATCCAAACCGGGTTGAGGTTAATAAGCTTGGGGATCTCTACAATTACAATGCTATTAATTACTTACGAAAAATCTTGAAGAAGAGAGAAAAGTAATCGACATTAGACAGAGTCTTTAACCCTTTCAAACGGAAAAAACATGACTAATAAAAACGCAAGACTATGCGTGTATGTATTTTTATTACTACATATAAATAAATGTAGTAAGAAAGTATATATATTTTTTTATTTTTGGGGTCTCCAGAACGAATTAATTAAATTCCCATTAAAACCTATGGTAAATCGATCAGTTAACGAAAATGGTAAAATCAGTTAACGAACAATTCGGATAGCGAACAAAGTCTTGGAACGGATTATGTTCGTTAACCGATCATCCTCTGTATTTAAATCTATCTGAAATAGCAGAATCCCCAAACATTTGCTTAAATTGAAAACTTGTTTGTTTAGTTAAGTTATGGTAGCGCAACACTTGGGGGATCTGCCTAGGGGTGCCTTCCGGGAGGTCTTTTTAATGGTAGCTGGGCCCTACAGACGTGGAGAAAACCCAGAAAACTCCACGTGGCCAGCCCGTCCTAGCCAGGCGCGAACTCCCAGTGTTTAGGGAACGGAACCGCTTGACCACCGAGGGCCTTAGAGACTAAATAAGTCCTGCTAAAGGCCCATTTACAACCATCGAAAACATAATTAATTAACGCTGGCTGAGTATAATTGAAAGAAATTAATTGAAAGAATTTAATGTGTTGAAAACGATGTACCAATTCACATTATTTTATTGTAAAGCGAAATAGCATTCATTTATATTCAAAATCATCCGAATATATAAAATATGAAAATATTAAGTAGAGGCGGAGAGAAGCCTATAAAGAACAATTGTAAAATAAATGTAATAAATTACAGTTGATCCTCCTATAACATTGTTGGTAATTCCGTTTTATATGAATTCCATGTTGTACGAGTCACTTAGATTTTACAAATACGTGAGCCGTTCGCGGCCCGGCACACG